ATGCGGTCGGCAGGTGGTCAACGGCTGTTTAAAATACAAACAGGGCGCCGGCCTCCCCCGTGCGCAGAAGCAATCTTTCCCTAACAATATAACTAAAGTGCAGCCTGGTTCAGAGCCCAAGGAGGCACAAAGGGCATTCTCAGGGCAGTAGTGCAGGGGTGCAGAGGATGACTGCTCTGAGATAAGAGGAGAGAGATGGAAAGTTATCTCTTGCTCACTCTGACAGCCCCAGGTCTGCAGCAGGCCTCCTCGGAACCAGCAGGTGTATGGAAACCTCACGGTGTGAACGCTGAGGATCTCTTTGACAAAGAAGTTCATCCCCAGAGGTGACGGTCAGGCGCTGTCCTGGGCATCCCGCCAAGGCCAAGGGGCTGTGGTCTTTGCGGCCTCAGCCTTTTCGTGATGAGGTAGGCTCACGGATTTTCCATCTCTTGCTTCTCTCGGGAGTGGAGTAGGTCTTTGTTAAGAGCTTTGCGGGCTCCCAGGGAATTCGCTTTTGGGGAAGCTATTCCCTATTATATCGAACAGAATAAAATACATCCCTGGCTAATATTCAAACACATTTTTATATAAGTACTGTATTAAAGCAGAGTGGTGGTTGACTTTTAGATGTAATGTTATGTCCTGTAGACATTAAATTCAACACGTATTCATTTTGGGTTTGTTTTTTCACTCCCTCTCTTTGAGGGAGGGGATGTGGCTTAAATTCTTCTGTAGAGTCTGGGTCTTGGCAAGTCCAGTGCCTCTAGGGCCCTTGCAGACCCGCCTGGCTGGGGAGTGCGGGTGCTGGGGGGTGGTCAGAGGCAGGGAGGCATCACTTCTCTCTGCTCCCGTTATCTTCTTGGACAAGCATCGTTGCCCAGCTAACAGCTTCTCTTTTCTGCCTCCAAGCAGTGCTCTTCCTCCAGGTTCCCTCCTTTGTAAGAGCGAGGGGAGTGAGCTCCTGTAGGGTAGAGCAATTTACCTCGAGCTAGGAACTCAGTGACAGCCCAACCCTTAGACCCGCAGAAAGCCTCCAGGACCAAGAAATCAGTTTACGGGTTTGTGTTCTTCTTTGAGAGGGGCCACCCAGGTGTGATTGCATAGTTGCTTCTTTTTGATGTTGCACAGCCCAGAGCCATTTCTAGGGGCCCTGACTCCTGCTGATAAAGCAGCTCTGCTGCCCACGGGCCATTGCAGCTCTTATCTCAGGCCATCCCTTCCCTCCCAGCCCCTTTATGTAAGTATGAGTCCCTTTAACCCCAGGTGTCTTCATTGCCCTCCCCTCCAGATGCGCCCCCCCCCACCCAAACACACCTGCAGCCTGAAGCCTCCTGACCTGGGCTGGGCCAGGCAGGTGCGCACTCCACATTCCATGGTGCTCCTTGCCTCCGGGCTGGCTCAGACAAGCACCCCCTCCCCAGCTCCGGATGCACAAACAGGTCTTTCCCTCTCCTCGGCTGGGCCTCATTGCAAGGAAGCCTGGATGTGAGTGTCAGGTGGACCGAGGAGAGCAGGTGAACAAGCCAGGGCGCTCCTGCTCTGAATTCTTCGTTACCAGTCGGGATTCCTGCCCCAAGCGTGAGGCCCAGAAGCAGAGACAGTGCAGGGACAGGAGCTAATTAAGCTGTAAGCCATCCCCAGAGCCCCAGTTCATTTGTAATTATGCTGTCTGATCTCAGAAGCACCCCCAGTGCTCTGGGAGAGCAAGGAGGAAAAGGGGGAGCAGATGATTGAGAAGTTGATCAGGCCTTTTAGAATGGATTTTCAGGAAACTGACATTTACACCATTCTTAGAGAATCCAGCTCCCTGAAAAGAACCATAAACCGTGCCTAATTCTGCCACGTGATCTGAGGAGCCCCGATTGACCGGCCCCAGGGGGTGCTGACTTCTTTCATGTAGGTCAGGGGACCCCTGTGTGGTGTAATTTTGGAAGGCCCCCCCTCACCCCTGCCCACAGAAATACCCCAGCTAAGCCCATTGATGCTGGCAAGCAAGCTATGCATTCATTCTACTGCTTCGGCATCGCAGAAATCCAAACGCTATGTTTGCTTTCACAGACGCTACACCTCGGTGGGCAGGAGGAGAATCCAGTCTCTACAATGACGTGATCTAATTGCTGTATCCTCCAACCGGTATTTTTTTTTTTTTTTTTTTTTACGGTACGCGGGCCTCTCACCGCTGTGGCCTCTCCCGTTGCGGGGCACAGGCTCCGGACGCGCAGGCTCAGCGGCCACGGCTCACGGGCCCAGCCGCTCCACGGCATGTGGGATCCTCCCGGACCAGGGCACGAAGCCGGGTCCCCTGCATCGGCAGGCGGACTCCCAACCACTGCGCCACCAGGGAAGTCCTCCACCCTGTATTTTTTTTTAAACCATCAGCAAATCGAAACATGACCTAATTTTTAGACCTAATTTTTCAAGTGGGTAGACTGAGGACCAGAAAGAGTTAGTGACTTCATTCAATGTCATGCAGGCAGAATGTGTGACTTAATTCAATGTCATGCAGGCAGAATGTGGCAGAGCGGAACTTGCATCCAAGTCCTCTGGCCTCCAGTCCAGAAGACTCTGCAGTTCATCAGAAGTAGAGTATAAAGAAAAAGCTAGAAAGCTAAGGATTGGTCAAGCAACACTACGGAGACTGGTACTGGGTAGGGAAGGGTGCCTGCAGAAAGGGCTGCAGCCTGAACTTGGTCCCCGTTATCATCTTTGGTCATTTTTGATTTGTTAACTGTTAGAAAAATCCAGGTTGAGAATACAGCCGTGCTCCAAAGGATAAATCGCCGGCAGAAGCTCTCAGGCCGACGCGCTTACATCGGTTAACTTCATCCCTCGTAGTAATGGGCCCTGCTGACAACTGACTCAGGTCTGGGCTCCGAGCACAGGCTCTCCCAGACCTTGCTGCTACCTAGACAGCCCCACAGAACCAAAAGGCAGCAGCGCATCTTTGCGCGCCTCTGAGGAAAACCAAATAATACCGGGCTCGACCTAGCTTAGGCAGTGCCTGTTTCTTTTAAAAACAAAGAAGGAGACAGACAAAATTCCTGCCTGAATCTGTTTGCCCTGTCCCCGTGGCCAAGCCCTAGGAATTCTGTCCTGGCTGGGAAGACTCAGGCCTCAGCACTTTTCTGAGCAGTGGGGACTGGGGCCAGAGACTCTGATTTTAGTTCCCAGAGTAGCAGCAAAGACGTGTCAGAGGGAGCCGGCCTTCCAGAGCCTTCCAAATCTGTGGAATGAAGCTAAGGGATCTTGAGACTTTTTCTATTTTTATTACAAATTATAAAATGTAAACAACTCTTGTTTCGTAGAATTTTAATAGAGTCAAGAGTTAAGGAACTTAGCCCAGTGCCGGGCAGAGAGTAAGCACCCCAAAATGATCATTATAAAAATAACACATTTCTAAGTGATAAAGGTAGCTGTCTCATTGTAAACAAATTTGGAGAACACTGAGAAGTACAAGGAACAAAATGAAGTTCATCTACAGTCCAAACTCTCAGACATGGGACCTTATATATAAGGTCCTTATATATATCCTTCCAGAGTTTTCTCTACCCATAAACTCAATATATCTATATAATAAACTGGATATGTCTATATCACACATCATAAATGGAATATATTTATTCACACAAAATTTTTATTTGTACATGGTTATACGTATTGTTTGGCTACATTTTTACTTGACAGCATTTCATGAACTTCTTTTCATATTAACAAATATTCATCTAATTCATTATTGTTCATGACCACATAGTATTCCCTTATATTATAAACAACTCTTCAGTGAACATCCTTGCACATAAAGATTCACTCACTTGCCTGATGATTTTCTCTGGATAATTCTCAGAAGTCGAACTCTCAGAGTTAAAGCTTTTAGAGACACATGGCCCAGCTCCCTTCCAGAATGAGTGGACCAGTTTTATCCTGAGATCTTTTCAGGTACTAACAATACATTGACATGAGTCTATTCTCCTTATTCATGGATTCCCTGTTTGCAAATTCACAAAAAAACATTCCCCAATGTGTTCCAGAAATCTCTATGGAAAAATAGGATGCAAATTTTGGATATTTTAACCCTTACAGTCCCTGGTTCATAGTAAGCACTCATTAAATACAGTGTGCATTGAATGAGTGGGCAAAAAAGACAGAGGTGCTTATACAATTTGGACCCCAGTTCAGCATAATGAACTTTTCTGCTTCCTCTTTCTTTAACCTGTATGCTCCCCCACCCCCGCTTTTGGCTGGCTCTTTACAGGAGCCTGTCTGAGGCACAAGCACCCAGCTTCCACACACCCTCGCGGAAGCAAGCTTCAGGTCACACCCTTGACCTTCATCACACACTGAATTTGAAGGCCATCAACGGCACTGAGCACAGTGGGGATGCTGCCCGCATCATCCCATTTCCAGAATGAAAAAGTCAGAAACAAGGATGTAATCTGATTTATAAATCTATTTATGGGGAAGAAGAAACATATTTGCAGAAGAAGAATATTTTGTGACACGTGAGGATTATACAGAGCTCAAATTTCAGTGTCCGTAAATAACGTCACTGGAACATAGCCGCTCCCATTCGTTCCTGACCATTGTTGGCTAATTTTGTGACCCTGCAGCCGAGTGGAGTAGTTGCTACAGAGACCGTACAGCCCACAAAGCCTAAAATATTTACTCTCTCTGATGCTTTGCAGAAAAGTTTGCCAAATTCTGACCTGGAGGTAGGAAAGGATATTTAGTCACAACGGACAATTTTTTTTAATTTCATGGTGGTTTTATTTATTGATTTTAATTTTTATTTTATATTGGAGCATAATGGACACAATAGACTTTTAAGTCACACGGGTGTGTACGCAGACGCTAGGAGTGTGAACATCCTACTGTTGAAAGCTATGATTCTCAAACTCCTTGGCCTCGGAACCCTCTTTAACCTTGAAAATCACCGAAGACCCCAAAGAGCTTTTGTTGACTTTGAGTTGTATCTATTGACATTTCCCATATTTGAAATTAAAACTATGAAACATTTTAAATATTTATTTATTAATTCATTTAAAATAATGTAATAATCCCACTACATAGTCACACATAACACATTTTTAGGAAAAACAATGATACTCTCCAAAACAAAAATTTCAGCCTAGGAGAGTGGCATTGCTTTACAGTTTTGCAAATCTCTTCAAGATCTCGGTTAACAGAAGACAGGTAGATTCTCACCATTGCTCCTGTGTTCACTCCAGTGCAACATTACACAACATACAACCTCTGGAAAACCCCACTATATACCTATGAGGGAACAAGGGCGAAAAAGACAAATAACATCTTAGAATTACTATGAAAGTAGTTTTAACCTAGTGGATCTTCTGAAGGTTTCTTGGGGAACCCCAGGGGTCCTGGGGCCACACTTTGAGAACTGCAAGTTTAGAACACAAGGGACACACATATGGCAACATTTGCAAGGTGAAGCCTCTATGAGAAGCTGACCGAGCTGGAGGAAAGAGCCCCTCTATTGCCTCCCCTTTCAGCAAGGTAACCAGAGTGTCAGAGATGGAAAAGGTTAAGACAACACTGGCCTCCCCCTCACTTGTCATGCAAACCTGGGGTGGAGGAGGAGCAGCTGCTCACTTGCAACCATGGCAACCAAAGCCTTGGGAGTGGCAGTTCCTCCTCCCCTGGGTCCCAGGCTTTCGACCAGCCTTGTCTGTCTTCTTTCCTATTTCTTCTCCTTCCCTCCGCCTTCACCCATAAGCTGGGGGAAAAGAAACCAGGTGACATGCCTCCCTGTGCCCAATATGTCATAGGGAAGGACCAAAGAATTCTCGTTTTCATTTCACGTGGGTATGGCTATCCAAAACCCTCCCTTCCCCTGGAGGAGCCATTTCCCCTGAGGGCTCCCCCGGCCACCTTGCTGCACCAATGCTTTTGGTATCATTTGGGTGCAGCTATTTTCTCTCCCAGGGAACATAAGATTCAGTCTATTCCCACACCTGCTTTTGCTCTTTTTATTTTGAAATTGTTTTTGCTAATCTGTAGAAACAGAAGGACAGTCTGTCTACTGAACACAACCTGAGAACAAAAGTAAACTATTCTGAGCATGAAGGTGAGGTCTTTGATGTGCTTGAAGCAGAGCAGCTCCATCCCCCAAGGCAGACTTTTGCTAAGAATATTAGTCTACTTTTATTGTCTGCTCACGAAGTACCAGGCACTTTTTCAAGTACTTGAGACACAGACTGCAAATTGTATACCCTGATATCTGCTCTTCCCCTTTTCTTGAATTCATGGTTTTAAGCTAGGCACATGGCTTCCCAGTATAGAGACAATGTCTTCAGTGAGGGTCTCATGGTTGGAACCCCAGTAAGCATTGGCTAGAACTAGTCACATGGACCCACCTACCTGCAAGGGGACTGGGAAACACGGCAGGGCATGTGACATGTGGTGAGAAGAAATGTCTCTGCCATCGCATGTAAGCACCCACATGTCTACAATCAGGTCCTACTGCAAAGTATTCTGAGTCCTTTCCTTAGTCTTTGGTGGGGATGCATCGGAAATTCTAAGCTCCTATTAACGGAAGGCACAGATGCATAAGGACTTTCATGGGTATCCTGTCCTGGTGACAGAACAGGTGAGGACCTTAATAAGTATTTGATGGCTAAGGAGCAATTAGTCAAGTGGGGTCTGAGAACTAAAAGAGGAAACTTAATGGCCTGAGGAGAAATAAGCCAACTGTTCCAGCTGAGTCTGCCTTCCAGGCCATGAAGACACCTGGACCAGTACCTGGGGCGCCATCTACTCCTCCAGCCCCTCTGATCCCCTCCGACAAGGATGAGAGGAAATAGATCCACAGATTTGTGGACTTTGGAAAGAGGTAACTCAAGAGTATATATCTAGAGAAATGTACATTTTTATTTATACCCAAGTCCTCCAGTCTAAACACATTAGATTTTATTTAAGAGGTTTTGAAGAGAAAGAGTCAGCTTCTCTTTTTCACAGTTGGCCAATTATAACTAGCACCTAAGGACCTGGTGGAACCAGGGGCTGGCTTATTTTTGCTCTGGAACATAAATCAATCACCCAGGTATTTACTTTGTCCCTATCATGTGCCTGGTGCAACGTTAAATACTTTGATGAAAAGAAAAGTACAGTGTGCTCTACAGCAATGAGACAGGTTTTGTAGTAAAACATGCCACTTTTGGTAATATTTAGCCTGGAAGAACTTGCCCTTCAAAGTAGTCCCTTTAGAAGGTTGTATACTCATTTCTGAGATGGAGATGAGAAGGGCTGTGGCATCCTCTTTTGCAAATGTCTTCAGGCCCCAGGTAAGGACTCATATGAAAGCTGAGTGCATTTCTACTGTGACTTCTCCTTTTCTGTTATTATTATTATCCAAGAGAGTTGTCTGCCTTGTTTACTAGAGTTGGCTTTCAATACCTTTTGTGTATCCTCAGAAATTACATACACACTCAACAGAGGAAGAACAGCAATGCCCAGTGAACATCTAGAAAAATGCTCTGTAGCCTCTGAAGGCAAACCCCAACGTGTATTTTAAAACGTTATGACAGATTATATTTTCCAAAAACAATATTTCTAATGATATTTCTCATTCTATGTGCTTTTGAGAAACTTAACACCCACCCACCAACAGGGAGAGTCTAATTCCCCTCCCCTTGAAACTAGGTGAGCTTCTGACTCACTAGTGAGCAAGAGAATGCATGGAAGTGATGCCGTCCGACTTCAGCGTGAGGTCATAAAAGGCAGTGAGTTGAACAGTTTCCCCAGAACCCTGACCCACCACGTAAGCATTCTGATGGCTCTGAAGCTTCCATGCTGCGAGGAAGCCCAAACCCCCCACATGGAGAAAGCACATGGCTGTGAGGTGCGGGGGATCTCCAGCTAGCCGCCGGCTGCTCTCTGCTCACGAGAGACCCACAACCATCAATCCAGCCCTTCCTCATTTCCTGTCACACACAGACTGTGAGAGAGAATAAAATCATTGTTGAATTAAGCACAGCCAGTGGTAATTCTGGGCTCTCCAGAAAAAAGAAAAAAATCCTAATTTGTTCTGTCTATTTCCATGGTATAAATACTCCTACAATGGCCAACCTTAAGCTACCAATGTGGTGACTATTGACTTGGGAAGAGATGCAGACAAGGGGCTCAGCCAGCGGCACGAGCTGGCTCCAGCCAGCCCTTATCCAGTGCTAGAGCAGACCCTAAAAGAGGACAGCTCTGCAGCCCCAACTGGAGCTGCTGGGTGTGTTTTAAAGTTCCTTCCCCGGTTTACGTGATGGAGCCCAGAGCCAGATGGTACTGGGATTTGTGGAGCTTATCTGTGCCAGCCTTTGGCCAACATAGAGAATAAAGCCCTTTTGGCTTCATGGTACACAGAGAACTGAAACCTCTAACCAACCCTAAAGGACCCCTAATTTGACAGTATCTTCCCCTTCTAAGGGACAGATGTGCCGATGGTGGTGGGCAAGTGAGGCCATAGCTCTTTGGGGTTCTGAAGACTCTTCTTCCCCAGCTAGGCTGGGAATGCCTGTCCTGAGGGATTTGCCAAGTGCAGAAGAAACTTACATACAAGAAGCTTTGGGAATGCTGGGTCTGCTTTGTGAGAGATGGCCACACTTGCAGGGATGAAATGTGCCTCCACTCCCCCCATCACACTGGCCCCAACCCTGGCCACCACCACTTGGGGAAAACATCCATCTCCTACCATCCGAGTCTGCATGAGGGGTTCAGACACAGAAGGTCATGCTATTTTCAACAACTTGTTTTCTATCGTAAATTAATCTATTTTACTGTGCGGAAAGAAACCACACTCATAAAAGGAGAAAATAAACCACACCCTATCCCCACTATCCCATCTGAAAACTTTAGGTTTTTGTTTTCAGTCTTTTAAAATATACAGTATGTACAGGTTTCACATCCAAAGTCGTTCCCTTAGCGTTACATCATGGGCATTTCCCTAAAAAAATAATGATAAGAATGGCTACATAATATTCCATCATTTGGATGCTAACAACTGTAACAGATGTAGAGCCCATCTCCCCAAACTTTTGAGCTACTCCAGAAATGGAAAACCTTGTGAGTAAGTCTTTGTGTTCTTATCTGACAGTAGAGCATTCGTAGAAGTAGGAGAGCATAATGAAAGGATATGGCCATTTTGAAGACTCTTGATTAATATTATTGTTTTAAGAAAGTTTCTATCAGTGTGAACTCTGACCAGAAATGTGAAAGAGTGTCTGTCCTACAGCAGATTAATGGGCAAAATGAATTTTCATTATTGGTTTGATTTACATTTTTGATTAATGTATATGAGTATTTTACATGTTTGTTGAACATTTGTATTTCTGTTCTTTACTCGTGTCCTTGGTCCATTTTAATATGGTTATGTTAGCACTTTTCTCATTGTTTTGCAATAGCCTTTCACATAAAAATAAGATTCTGTGTGATACTTATCACAGACACCTTTCCAGTGTTACTGATGCCTAGAAGTTTTAATGTTTCTGTGGTCAAACCCAATAATCTTTTACTTTTTAACCTATGTCTAAGCTTTTATAGCTATAAAATTCTTCTCTCAAGATCTGAAATTTCCCCATGTCTTCTATTTCTATGTTATTTTTGCATATAACTGTTAAGTGCATGTGGAATTTATTTTGGTATATGGGGAGAGCTAGGGATTATCTTTAATATTTTCCACATGGTTGGGTCCTAACATCCTTTATTGACTAATCTCCCTTTCCTCACGGATCTTTACCACGTACTAATTTTTTATCTCTATTAGGGTCTGTGTTTGAGACATTCTGTTATACCCATCCATATGCTGATGGTTTGATTTGCCTATTGAAGTTTTATAACATCTTTGTTTTTCTTCTTTTCCCTCAACAGTGTAATACTTTCAATGTATTTCTTTCTCAAAATATTCTGGGCTGGATCAAGCTACCAAAATTTCCCGAGAAGGAGCGTTCCTGGCTACTGCAGGCCTCGTCTGAATAGGACTCCTGTTGACCTGAGTAGCCACAGTTGTCTTACGATAATAGCTTTATAACTTTCACCCAGGATCCTACTCTTTTGATTTTTTCCTGCTCATCCGGACCTTTTGCCGTAGAATGGAAAAGCAGACAAGGGCAGAACGAAGACAGAGCTTGGGCCTTGCTGGGCCACCTTGATAGGAAACTAACATGTGTACTCACCTTTTTCCTATTAAGAGCCTACTGTATAGCACATGGAACTCTTCTCAATATTAGGTAATGACCTAAATGGGAAAAGAATTTGAAAAAGAATAGATACATGTATATGTATAACTGAATCCCTTTGCTGTACACCTGAAACTAACACAACATTGTTAACCAACTATACTCCAATATAAAATAAAAAGTGGTTGTTGTTGTTTTTAAGAGTGTCATTTGCCTATTGTTGCTAGAAAGCAACAACTTGGATTTAGCTATGTCTTCACTGAAACTTAGCAGAGAGACACCCACAAAGGAAACTAGTAGTTCCTCATTAAAGAACACTGGCAAGGGCTTCCCTGGTGGCGCAGTGGTTGAGGGTCCGCCTGCCAATGCAGGGGGCACAGGTTCGTGCTCCGGTCTGGGAAGATCCCACGTGCCGCGGAGCGGCTGGGCCCGTGAGCCATGGCCGCTGAGCCTGCGCGTCCGGAGCCTGTGCTCCGCAACGGGAGATGCCACAACAGTGAGAGGCTCGCGTACCGCAAAAAAAAAAAACAACACTGGCAAGGGGGAAGGGCTCTACTTGTAACTTTTATCACTAAATTATTTTGGGTGTGCTGCAGTCTCTCGGGAATTCTGCCGCACCATCTGTGAAATGAGGCTTCCAGACTGGACACCCTCCCAGCTCTAACGCAGCACCACTGGTTCTAGACAGCCCCATCCAAATCTTGCGATGAAACCCTCCAACCGCCTTTATTTTCCTGAAACCAGCATTTGTCAGAACTTTTCAATAGCTCTAAATTCAGACACCTTCCTGTTTTTCCTGAGCCTTCTTGCTTTGTGAATGGTCCTTTCAAGATCCCAGGAATAAAAGCAGGCCCAAAGTGTGAAGCAGATAAAAAGCAACAGCAGTACAAGAGAAGAAAAAAGATGTGGGTCCCCCCCCCCCCCCCCCCCGCTTTCCCTCATTAGTTTAACTTCTGACCGATTTAGACATTTGTTACATTTTTCCTGGAAACTTGAAAGTTTAATTTGGAATCCAGTCACAGAGAGAAAATTCTGCTGAGGATATAATGCAAAAATATGTTTGCTAATGAGTGGCACTGATTTTACAGGAAATAAGGAAGAAAAATACAAATTTTGGAAGAAAATAAGTAATTTCACAATGTTTCCATTTGCTCCATATCCAACTTCATTGCTTCAGGGGGTAGCTTGGAAATTTTTCTCCTGAAAGCACAGTAAGTATTCCTGTAGACTGTCTATTTTCTGGCCTGGAAGAGGCGGGTAGAGATGACAAATTTCCTAGAACCACTTCTGGGAAATCTGTGTTGATGGCATCTCTGATTTTAAACTCTTCATTCTTTCCTCCAGCAAAAACACACCAAATCGTGCAACAAGGCTGAACAGAGCAAATTCCTGCGTCTTTAATTAAAAAAAAAATCTTTTAAGTCTTTGTTGTTGCTTTGTTTGTATGCGAATGTGTGTGTGGGGGGGGTGGAGTTTGGGGGTGGTGTTTTAGATGCCTTTCAAGATAGTTCAGGGAGATATCACAAAACGATCACCTGCATCCCCATTAGAAATTCTGATTTTACACCATTAATTGGCATTTTCAAAACAACCAGTGCCCAATTTGAAGTCTACAAATAAAATATAAGCCCAGATGCTGCTTCACACTTGCATGCATTTAACACTTCATAAGCAGTTCATTAAACTGATAACACTTTAAACAGTAACACTGCCTCTTTCAGACTCCCTCAGCCTGTAATTGTCCTGAGGCAACGAATGAACCCTTCCTAGGCTTCGAACCACAGGAATTTACATTCTTAACGTGTGTCTCTTAATTATGGATACCCTGGTCCCTGGCTGAGTCAGAGAGGGCCAGGCTCGGGCCTGCATGCCCCAGCTACTGGACACACAGGGACAGGCCCAAGGGGTTGTGGACGCGGCACAGGGACAGACCCCGGACAGTGGCAGGAACAAGGTTGTCTCAGGGTTGCCTGGGTTTCAGCTGAGCCCCCTTGGCTCTCCTAAACACCCTCCTGACCAGAAGCTGGTTTTCCAAGATTGAATCTTCCTGATTAAAAAGGATTTGGATGTATATGTGGAATCTAGAAAAATGGTACAGATGACCTATTTGCAAAGCAGAAACAGAGACACAGATGTAGAGAACAAACGTATGCACACCAAGGGGGAAAAGAGCGGGTGGGATGAATTGAGAGATTGGGATTGACACATATACACTACTATGTATAAAATAGATAACTAATGAGAACCTATTATATAGCACAGGGAACTCTACTCAGTGCTCTGTGGTGACCTAAATGGGAAGGAAATCCAAAAAAGAGGGGATATGTGTATACATATAGCTGATTCACTTTGCTGTAAAGCAGAAACTAACAACGTTGTAAAGCAACTATACTCCAAAGAAATTTAAAAGAAAAAAAGGATTTGGGATGAACGTTCATCACCTTCCTCCTGAAAGCCCTAACCCCTACCGCCCAAGTTGTCTCGAGATCACGGGACTCCCTGACACAGTGAGGCCCCAGCTTCCTGGCACACACCTCTAGGACCTGGGGGTGACCATAATTAGAGAGGCAGCAGGATGTCTTGGTCAGCGTCCCGGCACACAGTACACTCTCCAGAACAATGGAAAGGTTAAGTCTTTGGCTATTCGGGGTGTGCCAGGCGAGGTGTGAGCTCTGCACCCCTTTCATTCAAATAAACAACAAACTAGAGAGGACACTGGACCTCTTCTGCGGATGACGACCGGAGACTCGCGGGCCTGAGTTAAAGGATGACGAGCATCAGTCGACTTCCCAGTGTGCTTGAGCACAGGGCGCTGTTCTGAGCAAGCCTTTTCCAGCATCCTCTCCTTCAATCCTACTACTGGTCGGGACTATTATTATCACCATAATGCAAAAGAGAAAAGGGAGGCAGAAAGGCAGGGATGGTACTTGGAACTCAAGTCCATTGGGCTCTCATAAGAGGGCAATTGACCTATACGCTCTGGTCCCTCTGTGGACACAGGGTGTATACAGCGAATTAGAGGCTCTCAAAGCCTGGTTCCTGGGGTTTCACCCCAAGGGCAGCGAGAACCCTGCCCCTCTGGCTCCTCTGGCCCCTCTGGCCCCTCTTGCCCTGCCCGGCCCCGGGCGCCCTGAGTTCCCACGCCTCCCGCCTTCGGGATGATTTCCAGCCCCATGGAACTGATGGGTAACTGATGGGCAACTGATGCGTAACTGATTAACCTTTGCTGGGCTGCTGCGACGCCGGAGGCGACCCGCGAGCGCCCTTCCCAGGGTTGGAGCCCCGCGGTCGCTCGGAGCTGGGAACCGAATCCTGATTTCCCGTCCGGGGGGTCTGGCGTGAGCGCGCGCGGGGGCTGGATGCGCGGAGGCTCCGCGGCCGGGCCCACAGCGCCATCGTGTGGCCAGATTGGGCAGCGCGGCTGGGGCCGTCGGCTCCCACCTTTTCCGGGACCAGAGTGAGTTGGGCGATCACGGTGGTTGGGGAAGGACGACCACACCCTTTGGGGACATCCCCTGGGCTCCAGCTCTGGGCGCGGGCGGCCTGTGTGGCTGCAACAGCAAAGGGAATGGCCCGATGGGGTCCTACTTGGCGAGGACTCCTTGGTCCGCCCTGAAATAGTGTGGGAAGCAAGGCACCCAGCCTGTCGTGGTAGAGCAGCAGGTTTGTCACAGAGAAGAGCACCGGTGATAAAGGCTCCCGGAAACCTTCGCTCCTTCGGGGATGCATGGGTCCCTGAACCCGGGCAAGGTTATATTAAGGCTTCTGCTAGTATTCATTCGTTTTATGGTTCATTCAGGAAGTCAGTTCGCAAGCATGTAATGAACACCTGCTATTGCCAGGACCTGAGGTGGCTCCAGATGATACAGAAAGGAATAAAAGTGAAGGCTTAGAGCACGCTAGGTGTCTTTGCCAGTCAGATGAAGCCCCTGGGCTCCTTTTAATTGTGAAATAGTCATGTTCTTTGTTAATACATGATGTAACAAGAGCTACAGACCAGTATGTTAACTACCATTTTTTCAAAATAGTGATGGGCACAAATGATATCAAGAAAAAGGTATCAACTGCAATGTAATATGAAAATAGCTGTGATCTCTGTTGGTGACAAAGTCACAGCCACTAATACACTGTGACGTGTTGCCTATATTCATAATTGAAAAAAATGCTACATTTCACTTCGAGGTTAGCGAGACTAATGATGTAAATTCTTCCCTAGGCAAGTTCAGGGACCTCCTGGATTTTATGCACAGAACCCTTGGTTAAGAAGCCTGGTAGGTGAGCAGACAGTAAATAAGTAAACAGGGTGAGTATAGACGGTGCTGAATGCTTTGAAGGAAATCAACAGGGTGATTCTGACAATACGATAAGAAGAGAGGGCCTGAATCAGGTGGGACTGTCGGGGAAGGCCTGGAAGATGTGGAATTTGGTGTTACAAAGTCTTATGCAGAGGTAGGAAATGGCCACCAGGGGGCCCAATTTAGCCTAAAACCTGCACAGTCTGAAAAAGTCTGACTCCTGTGCAGGACCAGTTTTTACCCTCTGACCACCACGCTGCCCCAGTTTCTAAAGCCCTGATTCATTTACATCCTGTCTAGACCCTAAAGGCATTTGATTTTGCACCTTTGCTGCTTGGGGCAACCCAGCCCAACAGCAGCGATCTGCCCAGCAGAACTAAACCCCCCAAAGTTTAATCTAAAGAAAAAGCTCAGGATCTCTGAGTCCTATTTGGGAACCAGCCTCCTTAAGGCTTGGAGAACCCCCGAAGCTTCCAGGTCTCTACCATGTTTCATTCTAGCTGTGATGCCCCAGGGTCCCTCCGAAGCGAGTGGGTGTGGGGCACCTCTGTTCTCATCTGCGGATTCCCAGCCCAGCAGTGGCGTGGGGCAACGTTTTGGAAGGTGGGTGGTGAACTTAGGGCAGGGTCAGAGGAGGCCTTTGCGGTCGGGTATGAACCAGTGTGGGAAGTTTGCGGGGCGATGTCAGGCCTGGCACCGGCAAAGAACAACTTTGTTGACAAGAAGATTAATTAGACAA